CCTCCCTAACCATTGAGGAGTAGTCTTACCCTGCCCTTGCTTAACCCCAGGATATATGTCTTGCAAGAATAATGTATAGTTATAGAAAATTGCTATGAGTTAAGTGCTTTGAAATTGCTATATAAACCCTTGGCTCTGAGTGCTCGGGGTCCTTGTTGAGACCCGCTGCATCGGGCTGACTTGGACCTCAGCTAGCTAGCTGAATAAAGACTTTGCTTGAATTTACATCTCTATGCCTGTGTAGTTTGTTCTCTGGGGAAACCTCGGAAGCCTGGACCCTAACAGGAGCCTATGGGAAAAAGTAGACAACATAAAATGAGAGATAATTTCCACAGGAAAATACATTTTTTGAGTTTTAAAAAGCAGTTTCAGTTTGATAAGTTCTTATAAAATCAGATGTCTGATCATTAGAGGCTAATAATTTTTTAGTCCAATATGCATATTTTTGAGTGGGTCGATTTGGATTCCAAGACTCCAATATAAAAGGGGCTTGGATGAACTTGAAACCCCACTGTCTGGCTCTGTAGTCTCTTGTCCGTGCTACTGCTAAAGAAGAAAAGTCACTTGCTTTTTTGGATTCCTGAACTCAGGACCTGACAGTATCCTGAACTCAGGACCTGACAGTAAGCTAAAACCTGGTAATGTCTCTAACGGCTGTTCCAACCTCTGAAAGCAGACATGGGCTCAGGGGACAGAACGCAGACTCTAGGACTACTGCAAATATAAGACATCCCCTCTGGGGTCATAAATTACAAAAACATCATGGCTGCTAGCTGGACCACATGGTCACTTGCAGATGACCACAGGAAAAGGCTTGTTCTCTGATGGGACCATCTGAAAGAAGCTGCCAGTGGCTCTATGTTTCTAACGCAGGTACTAGTTGCATCTGAGATGACTGATCACGAAAAATCTACCTTGTGATTCCTGTCGAAACTGTAAGCTGCAAGTGAGCACATCACAGGGACCTCCCTACTCACTCTGGACAGATAAGACTCTCAATGCCTTCTCAGAAATGTCTCACTGCTGTCAGCCTTTATTTGGCTTTCAAGATTATTTGAAATTTTCAACAGTGGACTGATAGCCTGAGTCTACTTTACTCACTTTTCTCCTTAGTTAGGCAGTTTGATATTAAGTATAGCTGTCCCTGAACAGAGATTGATCTTTTCTAGGATGCTTACTGAATAAATGATGTGGATGAAAAGGGTAGGGATTATGTAAATACATCCTGAGAACTTGAAAATTCTGGACTGTTTCTTCAGCAGTTTCTGAACATGACATCTTTCTGGTTAAATTATATTAACAGTGTTTTTCTATGTAAATTCTTCTGTCCCTCTGTTATAAATGTGTTAACATCGGACTAAGTAGAGCAGAGTGTGTCAAATGGTGAGCTGCATTCAACAATACACCACAAAAGGAATTAAAATAGATAAGTTTATTACTCACAGGCCCTGGAGGAAGTACCTAGCATGCCTTGAGGGGTCACATAGGTAGGTCAAGCCAGAGAACAAAGAGAGGTAGGACATGTCTTTATTAAGAATCTATGGGTGGAGTGCTTTGGGGTTTCAAGGGCTAAGGCCAGACTGGTCAATTAAACCAAAAGAATAGGGTTTTGATAAGCCACACAGGTGTCTTCTTTAAGGAGAACATAAGGGGAAGGCCCTGGGAAGCAGGGAAGATTGTTGACCACAGGGACTGTTGAGGAAGTCATATCAGGAACTTACATCTGCTTGTAATTCTGTGGGCTGCTATATAGAGCACATGCTTGTATGAGGGGACTAGTGCCAGTTTAAGGTCACTGCCAGCTGCTTGGCCAAAAACAATGGCTGCCATGGCAGCAATACCATAAAATAGCTTAGCTAAATTCTCAACACCGTCTTTACACCCAATCCTTCCTGATAAAAGACTTAGAAGAAAATAAAAATAATTGGAGGAAAAATGTGAAGTTATGATTACTGAATGAGACACACTCATTTTTGTAAAAACACAGAAACCACCAAAACCTAGCACCTGGGAGATACAGGGGAAAGAGGGTATTAATGGTGTCTGTTTTTCAGAACTGCTCCTGAATGCCAGTATTGCCTTCCCAAGATGCTGAGAGGTCTTACCTTCAAACTGACTGCTGGGCCTGCAATTATGCTGGACAGCACTTAATGTAGGACAGCAGAGGGTAGTCCGAGATCCTATGTTTTCCATGAAGAACACCTCTAGATGTTATCCACATTCATGAGGCAAATGAACAGATGTCAAAGACAAGCAAAACTGGCTGAAACCGACTACCTTCTGTAAGTCTTCCACTAGATAGAGAGCAGTGGGGCAAAAGGACCCACTATGGGAAGCCACACTGGGGGCCTGGCTAACCTGTACTGCCTAGCTAATGTATGTCTTCATTGAGGTGACTTAATAATTGCAAACTTTTTGTTTCCAAGGGTATTCTCTGGGACCATACTTCCTGTGTGTGTACCTTGACTTTCATAGACTTCCTCAGTCCTGGAAGGTCAGCCTCAACTTACCAGTCAGAGTTGTGCTTTGGTTGAATTGATGAGTCAGACTAGGAAAAAGGTTAATCTAAGATTGACCTCTTTTGTTAGTGGGATTTGTTTAATTGGCTAAATCCATGAGCCCCAGAGGGCATAACAGAGGTCAGTATTGCAGGTTTCACCCAGCTGCATGAGTCCACTGAAAATAATTTTGTTCTAAAAATGTGTTGGCCAAAGAGGGTGGACTTTACAGAAGAGTTGAGAAAGCAGTCTGAGCCTATCCTTAGAAAGACCTCCTTGCAAGGTTGGCCCTTGGCTGGTACCTGAGAAGTTGGCTGGTAAACAATTCCCTACACTGACATAAAACTTCCCTTAACTGATGAATGGCCTAAAGGGCTTGTACAACCAATGCGATACTCAGTGAACAAGGACTTTTCTTCTAGAAATCTGGAATGTTGGAACAGAGAGTGCCTACATGGCCAGCATCCATTAAAAGCCTTGGGCTCTCAGTCTTCAATGAGATTCCCTGGTAAACAACCCTTTTTATGTGTTGTCAAATCTCATCACTGAAGGAATTAAGCATGTCCTGTGTGACTCCACTAAGAAAGGACTCTTGGAAGCTGAGACAGGTTTCCTGCAGTCTTCATCTATGCACCTTTTCACTTTACTGATTTTACCTTGTATCCATCCACTGTACTAGATCTTAGCTCTGAGTAGAACTACATGCTCAGCCTTGTGAGTCCCTTTAGCAAGTCACCAAAACTGGAGGTAGTCTTTGGGAACCCCCAATAGAGAAGGAAAGGGAAATTTTCACATCTTCAGCCAAAAATTTTCTCAAAGCAACAAGATATAAATTTACCCCTTGTGGGTAAAATTCTAATATTTCCAGAATATCCCACCTGACTTTAGTGCATCCTCAGGGGTGGAGAGAAGTATGGCTTTAGTACATCTGCATATCAATAGGCATGACCCAGGGGTGGATAGTTCATCTCCATATCAATGGGTAATTACCTGGGCAATTTAGGGCTTATCTGAACCTGAGAGGTTAGCGGAATGCTGGTTTTGCTTCTGCTTCTGCTTCTGCCCTGGCAGGAAAGAGAGACGGACCTGGACTGAAGTTTGTAAGCAATAAACGGATTTTAAACTTTATTTCTCCCTTTGATTCATTTCCATTTTAGAGGTGTTTTGCCCTGGGATTTCCTCTTCCCAGACTTATGTCTGGTAGTCAGCAGGATCTGTGAACCTGAAATCTGTCATAATGGGTGCAGCCTTTGGGAGGGCTGCTTCTAGAGATGATGAGGAGAAGTGGCACTTGTGCTAAGGGACGTGTGTCTGCACTCGTGTGGTCGTGGAGACGCCACCAACCCTGCTGGTTGCACTGACCCTAGCCCATGGCCTGAGTCAAAGCCTTGCTGCTGCTGCTGCTCCTGCTGCCAGCTGGAGCCTGGCCACAACTATGGAAAGGAGCAGAGGTCTGGTTCACCCTGATAGAGAAGCAATTGGCTGCTGTGTACCATGCCTTGCTGGCTACGGAACCCATCTCCAGAACAGCTCTAACCAATAATAACCACCTATCCCGTTGCAGGGTGAGTGCCAGACTGGACCCAAAGGCTATGGAGTGGCATGGCACAGACACCTACTGTATATCATGTGACTGGCCACTTGCCTTTGGCATCCCCAGGGAATGATGAAGCAGACACATTGGCCCAGGTGTGCTGGCTAAAAAAAAAGTCTGCTTCTGATGTGGCCCAATGGCTACATTAGTGTTTATTGCATGAGGGGCAAAAGACAATGTGGGCCCATTGGTGGGGCTTGCCATTGATCTTTGAAGAAGTCAGCCGAGCCCAGAAGGAGTGCCCTGCATGTTGTGCAGATCAGCAAAACACCAAGAAGGGCCTAGAGCATCTCTTTGCAGCCTATGGCCAGTCGCCAGTGATTGAGAGCGATCAAGGCACCCACTTTAATGGATATGCATTGCAAGTATGGGTGCAGCAATTAGGAATAAAATGGACGTGGCCCTGAACATTTTGACTCATGGACCAGCGATGGCTGGCTCTTCTGGCACCTGGGGGAAAAGGTCTGGAAGCTGGCCTTCTGTGTTGCTGGAATAACAGCAGAATCACCCCCCAAAATCATGGTTATTTGCTTCTACAGTCCTTGTGTCCTGGATGTGCCCCCTGGCTGCAGCTGTCACATGATGGATGAAATGGAAGAGCTTTGGACTTAATCTGCATGGGACTTTGAACCTAGCTGAATTCTCTGGCTTGAGAATTGTCATGATTGTGTTGCTGTTGTCAAGAAAAAAATGCTTAAAGAGAGTCTTGACTTTGTCTAATGTTTGGTAAAAGTTTTATGAGCAATCTAGCATGGTTGTTAGGAATGAGTAAACAAGTGTAAAAACATATTTTGTACTTAATGAGAGATTGTGCTGTAAAGTACATTTACTTAATCTGCATAGGTTGAATCCTCTGACTTGAAGATTATCAAGATTTTATTGCTGTTGTTATTATATGTTATTAGATTGGTCAGAAGAGGGGGAATGAGTAAACTGTAAGGTGAGATTTCTGGAGGGGTGGCCTATGGGTAAAATCATAACATTTCCAGAATATCTTGCCTGGCTTTAGTACATCTGCATATCAGTAGGTGTTCAGAGGTGGAAAGAAGTATGGCTTTAGTGCATTTACATCATTCCTCCGGGGTGTGGAAAGAAGTTCATCTCCATATCAAAGGGTACTTACCTGGGCAAGGAGGACTTATCTGTATGTGAGAGGTTAGGGGAGGGCCGGTTTTGCTTCTGCTAGAGTAGGAAACAGAGAAGGGCCCGGACTGCAGTTTGTAAGCAATAAATGAATTTTAAACGTTATTTCTCTCTTTGACTGATTTCAGTTTTTAGAGGTATTTTGCCCTGTGATTTCCTCTCCCTGGACTTACACTATTGTGTCAATAGTCTGGTCACAATCCTTCAGTTTTCTCACCCAGGGACCATTGTGGAAGAGGGGGAATGAGTAGATTGAAAGACTAGATTTCTGAAGTGGTGGCCTGTGGGTAAAATTGTAATATTTCCAGAATATCTCCCCTGGCTTTAGTGCATCCTCAGGGGTGGAGAGAAATATGGCTTTAGTGCACCTATCAATAGGTGTTACTCAAGGGTAGAAAGAAGTTATCTCTATATCAGAGGGTAACTACCTGGCAACAGAGGGCTTTTCTGAACCTGAGAGGTTAGGGGGAGTACCAGTTTTGCTTCTGCTGGGGCAGAAAAGAGAGACAGCCCCGGACTGCAGTTTGTAAGCAATAAATGAGTTTAAAGCTTTATTTCTCCCTTTGACTGATTTTGGTTTTAGAGGTATTTTGCTCTGGGATTTCTTCGCCCCAGACTTACACCCCTGAAGGAAAAAGATCTGGTTTACATTGTTTAAAATTAGCCCATCCCTATTTCTCCCCTAGTAAAGCCCATTTCTTTAAAATTATGAAAGATGGCTCCCCACTTTGCCTGGACTAAGGTTCTTACAACAAACTTGGGGCAGTGAAGGAGCAGCAGCAGCAGGTGTCAAGTCCTGTCAGCTGAGGGAAAGCAGCTCTTCTGCACCCAGAAGCCCTGCCAGAAGGCCATTCCCCACCCTGGGAGCCCCACTGACAGCTTTTCCTGGCAGGGGCCTGGACACCTGCCTTGGGGAAAGGCTGTCAGTGGCAGCGGGCCAAAGGGAGCTGCCTTTTTGACCCTGTTCTAATGCTTTGCCTTGCCAAGCCCACAGGGTGCATCCAAAAGTTCAAGTTGCTGAGACAACTGCAGTTTTTTAGAGGATTTGAATGTGCATTTTCTTATCTCAATGTGAAAAAAATTACCTTGTCTTAGAGGGTAGGAAGCTTGTGTGTGTGTGTTTATGTGTGCATGCTCATAAAAAAAAGAAGAGTGAAATCCAATTACAATACTAAAGAAAACCATCAATAACAAGAGAAGAGTATAAGAGAGGAAGAAAGGAACTGGAAGGAGCTACAAAAAACAGCCATAAAACTATTAATGAAATGGCAATAAGTACATATCTATCAATAATCACCTTAAACGTAAATGGACTGAAAGCACTTATCAAAAAACATAGTGGCAGAATGGACAAGGAAACAAGACCCATCCATCTATATGCTGCCTACAAGAGACTCACTTCAGACCCAAAGATATGCACAGACTCAAAGTGAAGGGATGTAAAAAGATATTACACACAAATAATAGGGAGAAAAAAAGCAGGAGTAGCAGTACTTAGAATTGATTACAAAAACAAAGAAAGTAACAAGAGAAAAAGTAGGACAGTATATAATGAAAGGGGTCAGTCCAACAAGAGGCTATAACCATTGTAAATA